TAGCAAGTGCTAAGTTGCATTTTGTGCTGCTGAAAAACCTCTGAAGCCAACCCCACAATCTTCTTGAAAACTAGCTAGCCCCATTTCAAACTCATGCTACTATTTAACATTAGACACACTCGCTTATATGGCCTGGCCAAAATGGGGTTGCAGGCTTACAACATCCACTGAATCCTGTTGGGATGCAAGGCTTGAGTCTGAGGATGGTTCAGATGCTGAGAGGGCGGGCCCTTGGAACCCAAAAGTGACATGATGCTTTGCAAAACAGGTCCCTGCCCCAGTAGTTCTAAAAAAAACAGGTTGCTTACCTGTAACTGGTGATCTTCGAGTGGTCATCTGTGCACTGACACCCATGGGGGATACGGTGCGCCTGCACTAGATCGATCGGTATTGTAGCAAGCTCTAACGGATTTTCGCACCCAGACCTCAGGCATGCTCAGGAACCCCACCACGCATGCCCAGAGGGGTGGGCGTGGACATCCTGCCAGTTCCTTCAAACCGCCGCAAAGGAGGGCGGGTGGTGTGAATGCACAGATGATCACTCTAAGATCACCAGTTACAGGTAAGCAACCTGTTTATCTTCGATGTGGTCTCTGTGCTTCACACCCATGGGAGATTAGCGAGCAGTGGCCTACCTGGAGGAGGGTGTTGACAGGTCATTACTGCGAAGCCAAGGATAAGATGTGACGTCCCATGTTGGTACAAGAGTTCTTTTGGACATCTAGGGCATAGTGCCTTATGAACGTATTAGTCATAGCCCACGTAGCAGCTCTGCAAATGTCCATTAAAGGAACTCCCTGGAGGAAGGCAGTTGAGGCTGCAACAACTCGGGTTGAATAAACCCTGATCGTGCACGGCAATGGCTGCTTAGTAATAAGATAGCAAAGGCGGATGAGACTTACAATCCACCTTGACAAACGCTGAGCCGTGATGCGAGTTCCCAGCCTTACTGGTGCATAGGAGACAAACAGTTGACAGTCCCGTCTCGTTGGGCAGGTTCTGTTTAGGTAGAACAGAAGCGCACGTTTCGTGTCTCCTCTGGGGATGTTGGACCAGGGAAGAAATCCGGGAGGAAGACCTCTGCCTGTAGGTAAAATTCTGACACTACCTTTGGCAGGAATGAGATGTCAGGTACAAGGCGGATGCCGTCTGGCAAAAATGACAAGGACTGTCATGTCTGAAAGCCAGTATTTCTCCAACTCGCCTTGCTGAAGTGACAGCTACCAGAAAGGCTCTTTTCCAAGACAGGAATTTCATGTTGCAAGTTGCGAGCGGCTCAAAGGGTTTCCTGGTGAATTGGCGAAGGACCAGGGAAAGGTCCCAGGGGATGACAGGACTTTTGATGGGAGGGTAAATACAAACGTTTAGAAAGGAGATGCGAGAACAGTGTGCATCCTTCAACTTGAACATGGTAGGCTGATTGTAATGATAAGACTGCGTAGTTGGCGGTGATCCCAGGAAAGAGCAGGAGGTGGTGGGGGCAGGAAGACTCGTGGGGATCTACTCCTAGAGTGGGAACGTCTGGGAGACAGTGTAGCATCTTGTCTCCGTGAGTGGCCCCTATTAGCCCAATATCGATATCGAAGGGCCGATCCTTGGCAAACAGATGGGGAGGATGACGTTGAGTGTTTGGAGGGATCTGTCGATGCCGACCTGGGTCGATATCGACATGGAACTCCGAGACTGTGGATGTCGATGACTGAGGAGAGGGAGAGTGATCCGTGCCCAGGGGACGACTGAGGATCTCGACATCATCGATGTCGGAGAAAGGACGCATATCGACCAGTGTGTCGTGGTCTAGCTGGTGTATTGGAGAGTCCATTAGCTGGATGGTCGGTATTGGTGGAGTGACTGGAATCTCCGATGCCAATATTGTCGTTGGAGCGGGGGGCACCTTAGGGGCATTACCCGGTGCAGGACCCGCGACTTTTCCAGACTTTGCCGCCTTTAGGGCCTTAGAGGAACCGTTTTTGGCAGACTTGTGCTCTTTACCCAATTTCTCCTTCTTTTTCACGGGAGTGGATGCCGAAGACTGCGCTGTCGGTGCCGGACGCTTTGATGTTGACTGGACGATGTCGGACGAGGACTTTGACACCGGAGCCGTCAATGTCGATGGTCTTACTTCTGGATCCATGACGGAAGCGGGATTTAGCACCGATTCCAGTAACACCACCCGGAGACACGCCGCTTGGTTCTTCCTGGTTTGATTTGAAAACTTGGCACAGTGTCAACAGGACTTTGGTCTGTGCGTCTCACCAAGACAAAAAATGGAAAGGTGTGGCCGTCAGGCGGAGCGAGGTTACTGCTGCACCACTTACGTTTGAAAAAGCCCCACTTCTTCTCCATAAAATAAACAAGATGGAGAAGAAAAGGGGGGGCCCGCGAAGGCCAAACTGAGGTAAGACGAAAAATTCCCCCTTGAGTGGCCCCTATTAGCCCAAAATTCCCCCTCAAACTAAACAGTCTTCTTTTTTTTTAAAGAAAACAACAAATAAGCAAAGGTAAAAGTCGAAAACTAAGAGAAAAACTGGAGAGAAATCCGAAGAGCCTCTGAGGAAAATAGCTACCAATCTGACTGACGAAAGGAAGGTGCTTCCAGTGTGGCGGAAAGAAAGGAACTGGCGGGATGTCCGTGCCCACCCCCCTGGGCATGCGTGGTGGGGTTCCTGCGCGTGCCTGAGGTCTGGGTGCAAAAATCCGCCAGAGCTTGCTACAATACCGATCGATCCAGCGCAGGCGCACTGTATTCCCCCATGGGTGTGAAGCACAGAGACCACGTCGAAGATGAATAGTTTCAGAACAATGTGTGTGTGTGTGTGGAGGGGGGGGGGAAGCAAAGGGAGAAGCCAGGGTCTCAAGAGACTTCCATCAAGAATGCTTATAATAAAAGAAATCTAAACTTCTCACTTAGGCACAGTTACACAGGCGGAAACTAAAGATCAGGTAAGGTAAGATTTGACTATTGTTTGGAAACAGAATTACTCCCCCAGGACCCAGATCACAGAGGAGTACAGCCTGGCTGTGTATGGAGTGTATGTCACTTTACTCAGGGTGGTGCTCTCTGTCAAGTAGGTTCACTTCGATCGGGGCAACTGGGATTCACCACAGAGGGGCACGATTTTTATTTTATTTTTGGCTGCCTAACTAGTAGACAGCTGCATCTTTCCTAGCAGTCTCAAGAAAACTCAGGAGAGGTTATGCAGAAGCACACTTCAGTATGCACATTCTATACTTTCTAAAGCATGTCCTTGAGCCCTCTGTAATAGTCTTAGTAATCCAGTTTGTAACATGCCCTTCCTAAAAGGAGATCGTGATGGTGCATACAGGGCTTTGTTTCCTCCTGGTACCTTCACAACAGCCCTGTGAGGTAATTTTGCAGAGAAACTGCAACCGGCCTCAGCTTTCCCACTCTGTCTCGTCAGGAGATGGGCTTCAGTGAGGAGCCTGCTGCAGTGGGCCACCCCCTGCAATTTAGACCAGCAGACAGACAGCCTCCTCCCCTGGACTGGGCTTGGGGGAACCTGTCCTGATTTGCACAGGATTGCTTGCCTGACCCCACATGTCAGTCACAAAACTGCCACCTTCCTTTAGAGGGTGTACAGCATTGATTGGCTGCCTGTCTGATGGACAGCTTCATCCCCTTTCTGAACAGATTTTAAAATATTTAGAAGCAGTGCAAATAAAATAAATGTCAAACCCCCCACCCATCTTTGCAAAGCACCAAACCAGCACGATGCAGCCCATGGACAGTACATTTGTTTCTTCTTGCAGTGAAAGGAGAGTTTGTGATGTAACCAAAAACCCCATCATCTGCTCTTGCACACAGCTATAGGTGGCTTCATCCACACGAGGAGGGATTTCAAAAAAACCCATTATTTTTTTACACCTTACTGCCTTCAGGCTGCCCAGTAGGTATCGAAAACACATTATCCACCCCTTCAAAAAACCCCACAAAACTTAGAACTGGACACAGTTCTCTCCAGTTAACAGCAAGTTTTTAAAAAGCCTCCCAGTGCTTAAGTCTGGGTGACTGGTTCAGTTGACCACAAGAGGGCCAACAAATGAAAGGAGACTACTTTCCCACTTGATTCCACTTGATGCTGTGCGGAAGTTCTCCTCTCCTGTTGAGGCTACGGAGCGCTAACAGAAAGCAGATGCATATGGAGGCATTTTCAGATACACAAACAAGAATATTCAGAGCTGACAGCTCCAAAAGGGTTCAAACTAACTATACACTCAGCACAGCGCATCAGGAACTTTGCATGATAAAACTGACCTGAATGTCCCTACAACAGCAGCACTATTGCTAGTTTCAGGAATCACTTTTGGACAAACACACAGGTTGCTAGTCTGATGAGCTACCCTGGGAGACTAACAACCAGGTGCCTGGGCCACGTTTGGCCCACCCAGCTGCCACCCAAGAGACGAGTAAGAGAGTACTGGCTGTGTTCACGTGGGGCTTGCTATACCCCTTGGGGACAGAAGAGGGAAATAACGGTGGAGGCACGGTTGGCCCCCCTTGAAAGAGCAGCGGTGGACTGGGGACCACCCACACTGAGAAACATTCAGTCCACCAACAGGGTTTCTGTGCTTCCAGCTCATGTTTCTTCTTGTTCTGCCTCCCCTTCCACATTACCTGGGGTGACCAGGTAAGGTAGTCGCTTGAACCGGTTTACTAGAGACATTTACAATGCGACAACAACAAAAAAGTGTCTTCCTGGAATGTTTTCTGTGGGCAAACCTGGTGAAGTTGAAGTGATGAGGTCTAGCGACATACACAGTTAAAGTCATGCCTACCACTTCTAAGAGTTACCTGTCTGCAGGTCTCTTCCTAGACATATCTATTAGGTCAGCAACTAACGGCTAACCAAGCTATTTACAAAAAGAAAATAAATGTAAACTATTCCATTAAAATTTTAAATAAATATAGCTGTATACAATCTCTATACCGTGTAATGACTTAAGAACGAGGTAATAAAATCCCAGCTATTGATGCCTGCTGTCATGGGGTGAATGTGTTGCCAGAAACCGTGGGTCAAAGGACCAACTTCGGTGGCTTGTTCCTGTCCATTTCTTTTCTTTGGAGGAACCGTCCTTGCTACTCTTTTATGCTGGGTAGTTGTGCAAAAAGTTCTTCAGCTTTGTGGGGTAGTCTGTCATGACTCCAGTTGCGCCCAAGTCAAATGCTCGCTTGTATTCGTGCTCTTCATTTAGTACCCAGATGTACACCTGGAGGGAAGGACAGAGAGGAAGATATTTCCCATTTCAAAATGCAGCAGTCCAAACAATATTTTTCCTCAAGGCCCTTGCCTTAGACCTAATCTCCAGAAAATTTTAGACCTAATATCGTAGACCTAATCCCTTGCTTTAGATCTAATCTCCACACGTAACTACAAATAACCACATCTGCTTACATTAATTTCTTATTGTCCCTGCTATTTTCCTTTACTCTGGTGAAATTTCGACAGTAGGGTACATAGAGCAGGAACCACACCTTTTAGCTTGTATTCTATATACAATGGATGTACAGATACATAAACACACAAATATACACACACACACAGATGCAAAGTACATGAAGAATGGAAGAAGACAATGGAAAAATCCCATCAACTGGTTTCCTTCTCCCTCTAATTTGATATCCAGTATTCTACTGGATGATAACTGCCTTCAACATTCTGCTGCTCTTTGAGCATTGTCTGTCCTTGGGCTGGGGTTTTTTTTTTTGGGGGGGTGTCTTTTTAAATTTAGAAAGCATTTTCCTGCATGCTAAGGGAGCCCCTCAAACACTCGGAACCTTCTCCTTTCCCTGTGGGTGACTTAATTTCATTGCCCCAACAGACACTTGAAAACAAAGTTCAAAAGTTAAGAAATCTATATGTACACATCACCTGCAAACTCTGTTTCACTTTAGCAGACAGCTCTTTTTTTGAGCTTGCCAACAGCTCCTGCTTCTCCTGAGCCCTCCGGAACATGCAAAGAACTTGAGGGAAGAGAAAAGATTGTTTTCCCCTCCCACATGGATTCAAGAGTTCCCCCTTTGCCACATTACACTTCACAGGTGATGATAGAAAAGGCCACTAGAAGAGGACTGGGAGTAGAGGCCCTAATGCAATGCCAAGGCCTTCTTACAATCACTCTAATCCAGTGGCTGGAGTAGCACAGCATTAAGTCCTCTGGTAATGATGTTCCTACTCTACATCTGCTCAATATTTAAATAGCAATCAATAATACATTTTCCAAATTCCTCTTGGCTCTCCTTAGCCACCTTTATTTTGTTTTGTTTACAGTAAGAGTTGTTCAACAGTGGAATCAGCTACCTAGGGAGGTGGTGAGCTCCCCCTCACTGGCAGTCTTTAAGCAGCAGCTGGACAAACACTTGTCAGGGATATTCTAGGCTGATCCTGCATTGGGCAGGGGGTTGGACTGTATGGCCCCTTCCAGCTCTGTGATTCTATAAATCTATGATTTCTGCATTTTTCAAAAAAAAGTTTTCCCCAACAACCATGAGACCTGGAAACTCTGTTTTTAGAAGAAGGTGCTATACAGGGCACACAGCTTCACCCAGTCACTCTAATGTAGCGGGGTTAAGCTGTAAGCTCCTTGTTCAGATATCTTGACCACAAACTTGCTACTGCCTGGCATTAGTTAACCTACTTCTTTACCCACTGTCTCAATTCTGCTTTGGTAACAAGATGCTAGTATTGGCTTACATCCACCGTGCAAGGTAGGATAAGGTAATCATACCTGGGCAGAGAGCCATATAAATAATGGATGCAAAGTTCTTCAAGCATTACTAGTGGTCATTTTTTTTAAAAGTTGGAGATGGGGACAGAAGACAACCTCATATAACTTTATGAAATCTTTACCATGGCATACCTGAAGGCCTCGAGCAGTGAGGTGGTCAAATAATGCTTTCCTCATTAGCAACCTAAAACAATAAGTACAGTGTAAGGTCACATACGTGTTTTGAGGTCTTCAATGCTCAACATTTAAATCAGCCTTGCTCTGACGGAAGATGTGAAGGAAGAAAAAGGAGCTTTGGTCAAGCTGGACAGGCGGTAACAAGATGCTAGTATTGGTTTACATCCACTGTGCAAGGCAGGATAAGGTAATCATACCTGGGCAGAGAGCCATATAAATAATGGATGTGAAGTTCTTCAAGCAGTACTAGTGGTCAATTTTTTTAAAAGTTGGAGATGGGGACAGACGACAACACAAATGTAGAACCTCATATAACTTTATGAAATCTTTACCATGGCATACCTGAAGGCCTCGAGCAGTGAGGTGGTCAAATAATGCTTTCCTCATTAGCAACCTAAAACAATAAGGACAGTGTAAGGTCACATACGTGTTTTGAGGTCTTCAATGCTCAACATTTAAATCAGCCTTGCTCTGACGGAAGATGTGAAGGAAGAAAAAGGAGCTTTGGTCAAGCTGGACAGGGAAACAGATCGTGGCCAATATTTGTCATGTCCCTTGAATGTTTTTTGGAGGGGGCAGGGTGTGCTCAAAAGAACATGGAAGTTTCATTTGGAGAACACAATTTGACAACAATTAAAACGCCAAGAGATGCACGGGGCAGGCAAAGACGCACCATATACACTTCAACAGAGACACAAAGACAGCACATGACTAGTTATGAAGATTCAGAATTACATATCCCACTTTTCCTGCCACGTGGCTCCCCTTTCTCCTGCAGGAGCCACAGGGAACCACGTGAGCCTCTGTTCACTGCAAAGCAAGGAGCCACTTGGGAAACTGATCTTGTTTTAAAGCTGCTTGCCTCTAAACTTCAAAAAGAAGCATATTAGCTACAGCTGGGGTTTCCACTTATATCACACATTGTCTTGAGGAACAGTGTATACCCACATGACCTAGGAATTCCAGAGGGTTGGTCTGCTGCAGCCAAAATAACACGGTTTTGTATAGTCTTAAAGACTAATTTATTTAAGCGGAAGCTTTCTGCGCAACAGCCCAATTCAGATGCATTACGTGTTATATTATTTGTGCAGATTTATAACAAGAAGGGCATGGGTTGGGGGACAGGGTGCTATTAGACAGAGATGTCAGAATCTGTTCTCTTTAGGCACAGACAGAAGGGGTGGTCGTATGACAACAGGAAAAGGGCTCAAGAAACAATCATGAATGCTCATACTGGAATGAACGTTGTTACTCTTTTAAGGTGCCACTGGACTTCTGTTTGGTCAAGAAACAAGGAAACCTTACATGTCAGTAAGCCAAATGGTAAACCGTTGACTTCTTGAGATCTTCTCTGGTTCTTTTAGCCTAAGATGGGGGTGGGGTGGGGAGAAAAGAGAACATAGGTCACATTCCCATTACATACCATCCCTGACAACATGTAGGAAAATGAAGATGGACAAAAATAATTCACAAGTGGCAGAGGCAGCAATCTCAGTGTGAGGAGCACCTCGGTCTCAAAGATCACCAGCACTGTGGACTTGACATAGAAAACCAGCCCCCGTGTTTAAAGGGCCGAGAGTCTCAGTCTCCTACAAAGCCTGAAAGTCACACACCAGCCCAACCAAAGGCACGAGAGCAGCCACAAAATACACACAGTCTCGTTCTAAACCATTTCAGAAACAGAAATGTCAGAAGAGCTGATGAATGAGATTTTTCCATGGGCTGTCGTTTTCAGTGCCCCTCCAAAAGCAGGCTATGCAAAGTGACACCCCTGCGGTACTACACAAAATAAGAGGAAGTGTGGCATTTGGCAATAGGCTGAATGAGCATAAAATTCACACTGATCACAGAACTCAGTTTTTTTAAAGCACCAGTTTGGAATGTCTGGCTGCACCATACCAGTGTTTGTATTAAAAAATAGCCTCCCCTGACTTAAGGACTCCACCCTATCCTTCACTCTTACACATCTCTTCTAGGGCATGCTCATACCTTCCCCCACCCCCAGATGACTTTTTCCCTGAACCAGCCACGTGGGAGGAACACGTTTTGTGATAAATCAAATTGGACACAAAGGATTTGCAATGCAGTGTTATGACTCATTTGGATTGCCACAACCAACTCGCTATGGCGTTTCTTACTGAACTGCCATCTGTGTTTTACTGCCTAGTACTGATCTTAACTTGAAAGCTAATGATGTTTTCTTCTTTGCAACCCTGAATCTTTGGTTAGGACAATAAAGTTACCCCTTGGTGAAGTGCCTGCCTCCTTCCCCTTTCTTCTTTGCAGGTACCTTAAGCTGTGTCTGTGTACCCAAGGGCTAAAAGATGACCCATGACATGGGTCTCCATTTCAGTAATAACCCCATGAGATAGGATGATGAACATTTATTTCAGACATAAGGTAAAGAGTTCTGCTAGTGGAAAAGCTTCAGCTTATTGGTGGTCAAGATGTAGCCCTATGCTTTGTTTTATTTCAGAACTGGACAGAGACTACAGTTATCTGTTTGATGAGTCTACAGCCTAAAATAATTACATTATCCTCCCCATTTCTAGAATCAAAATCATCAAAAGGTGTTAAATATTTAACAAGTGCATTATTCTCCCCATTTCTAGAATCAAAAGCATCGAAGGGGGTTAAATATTTAACAAGTGCATTATGCTAAGGCAATCATTCCCTAGAAAGGGCAAACCCTGCACAGAGAATCTTCCAAGCACCAATAGCGTGGGTCTATATGCCAGGGATTCTACACATAGCTCTCATTGCTACAACATGACGTCTACACAGCAGTTTCCCCAGCACTTTCCTTGCCTCAACACCTGGTGGCCACCATTCCCCCCCATACCACCAGAGGGTTAATTGGGGGAGGGTTTAAAAAAAATATCATAATTGTTAGATTGCAATAATATTACTGCCACAATCTACTGGTGTGGTTTTGCTTCTCTGAAATGTCAGCTTTCAGGTTTTAAAGCTGTCTCTAGACCTTTTGTTGAAGAGAGGTGGGGGTACACCTTTTAAAACACCCCCCTTTCCACTGCTGCTGCCCGAGAGGGGGTGGGGAATCTGCGTGTGTGTGTGAGAGAGGGGGGGGGCTTGCCCCACTTGCCTCTCCTTCTCTTGCCTTTCTTCAGCAGCCACTGCAACTCAAGCTATGCCCTTTCTTTCTTCACCTGCGGCTTGAGGCACAGATAGGGGCTATGTGCTTGAGTGTACTGCTTTACACCTGCCCTCCTCCCTGGCCAGCTGTCAGTAGCCCAATCAGGAATTTCCAGTCTACTGCATGGAGGAGCAGTCAGGCACCCTGGGTGAGATCTTGGACCACAGTCTTCAATCTTTATTTACTAAAACACAGTCTCAATTCACTACAGCACAAGACACTGGAAGATTATATCAAAACATTATGGGATGCCAAGGTAATGGTAACACCAGTGACCGTACAACAAGTTAGTCTCAAGTCTGAATTTTTTTCTTACAGAACTAAGGGGGGGGGGGATCAATCAAGAGACTAAGTTGTACTCCTGGCCCGTCCATGGAATCAATGCACATCTGCGAGGACTTTGAAAATCGAGGTTGGTCAGGATGGACTTCACACACCATTGCTCCCTTTGTTCTCAGTGGCTTGTGTGCTGCTGACCGGGTGCCCAGGACTTTTGCCCTTTCCTATCCCAGCCAGGAGGGTTTCACTTTAATCTGTCATGAAATTTGTGGTGGGTTTCATGTGTACAGCTTTGCATCTTTTCTCCAATCCAATCAAGGTGCACGTCCCCCAACCTTTGTGACCCAAATCAGAATATACAAATAGTCATCTATTTTTCCCCTTCCTGGCAAATGCACAAATGATCATCTCCATCCTGCCTGTCTGTCTCCATAAAGGAAACTCATCTCCTCTTAGCCTGAGATCTGAGGGGTTTATTGCTTCGTTTCCCCGAAAAGAATATGTCCCCTGAGATCAGGGCTTGCCTGACTGTTAATCAAGGTATCCTGCAGTTCTCTACTATAAAACACCAGAAGAAAAAGGGCTAAAACATTTACTCCTAACCACCCCCACCCCCGAGATTTCAGAGAATTTGGTAGATTGTGCCAATTGACTGTTATAGTATTATAGTGATATACTAATCTAGACATTTCTGATTATTAAAAAAGCCAGAAACAACGCCCTCCAGTGGCTGTGGTGGTGGAGTGGAGTGAAGTGGTGGAGTGAAGGAAAATGGTGCTGACATAGGCACATTACCATCCAGAGTGCTTGGGAACACATTTGGACTGTGCTATTGCCAAAAAGTTAGAAGAAAAGCAGATTTGGGAAAGAGGATACTGAAGACAGATAAAGGACAACTGGAGCATGAATAGACCACGTGGATGCTAAAAAAAAGCACCGCAGTTTGATACCAGAAGCAGAGAAAGAAGCCAACAGGGCAGCAGCCATAGAATCTGGAGATCTCTGGGAAACTCTTGTTTCAAGATTGCAATGCCAGTGTCATTGTTCCAGGTAGAGAAGCAAAGCAAGCTACTTACTTGAGGATGATTGAAGGCATCGGAATCTCCAAGAAGTCCTCCGGAATGGGAAAGAAAGGCAGGAGCCCAGTATAGAACAGGCCCAGAAGCAGCAGGACACGGCGCAAGCAAAAGAGGATAGGAATGTGGGCGTTCTGATGAGAGAGGCAGACAGACAGACAGAGATAAATCAAACTATGAAACACAGGAGGGTTAACTCATGGCTAAGGTCAGCTCCAACAGCATCAGCAAAGCTGAGAGGGAACAGGGCTGAGTGACTATTGGCCATAATATGGTTGGGTGACTTTTCAAATACCTTCCCAGGTTAACCTATAACCTTCACCAGATGGACAAGAACTGAAAGCAAAGCGGACGTAGTGATGCCAACGGTAGACAATGTTCTGTTCCATGTTCTACCACTGTAGGAGATGATATGAAGTATCTGCACGCCATCAGACCAGTCAGAAGATTGGCAGCAGCTCTTTGCTATCTCAGGCGGACAAAGATCTTTCCCAGCACCTGCTACCTGAACTTTTAAACTAGGTATGCCAAAGACATACCCAGCACCTTTAGCAAGCAAAGCGCATGCTCACCCACTGAGCCACAGACCCTTCTGTAGCAAGGCAGCAGGATGAAACTTCTGCAGCAAAACAGCCCCAGACACTTACCTCTTTGTGACACTTGTCCACAATCTCATGACTGACATTCCCCCACACGGTCAAATGTTCTCTTTGGTACTGGGTCACCAACTCGGAAACCTGGGATCAGTATAAAAACCACAGGTCTCTTTCAGAGATTCATCGATGGCTTCAGCCATTAGGGGAATTTCATTTATGTTATTAAGTGACAAATTACTCTTCTGGAGTAGACATCAAGGCATTCATGTGGCATAAAGCAAGATTATCACCACAAACTTTCTTCTTTTTAGGGAAGTAAATAATACAGTGTATTGGACTCATGCTCACTCTCAGGTAAAGCAGATTCAGACAAGCCTCACCCCCCCACACACAAAATACAGTTTCAAACTTCATGCTACTCTTTTGAAATTATCTACACTGATATTATTCATTTAGAAAATTTAGATGCCACCTCTCCTGATCTGTTCAGGGTGGCTCACAGTTAAAACAATAAAAAGAATGATATCAATAAGGCTAACGATGACATAAATATCAATAAAACGTTACCAATAAAAGAAAGCCAGAGTATGAAAGATACAGCAATGATTGGTTTTCCTTAGGAAATAAGAGTGTTTTCTGGATTTCCTTCTAGAGAAATGTGAGGTGGGGAGAAGAAAGCGCCTGCCACAGAGCAATGTATAATGCCATTTTAATACCAATTCCCGTTCAGAAGCTAAGACCATTAGAGCTCATCTTTCAAAGCTGTCTCACTGAGAACACTTTTTAAAATTGTTTATGAAACGCTTTATAAGAGTTAGAACAGATTTTAAGTCAGTGTTGCTATTTAACAAGTCAGTGTTGCTATTTAACTGAGAACACTTTTTAAAATTGTTTATGAAACGCTTTATAAGAGTTAGAACAGATTTTAAGTCAGTGTTGCTATTTAACAATTACTGCTTCATGCTTTCAATGATGAATCAGCTGCCGTATAAACAGCAGATTGAAGTGCTAACAATGTAGTCAAAGGATATGCCTACACTATAAATACAAAGCCCATTTAATGGCCATGGACTCCACCCACTAATGACTGTGCTGGGAATAGTGGTTTCTGCATGTGGCTTAGGAACCCCCTCCCCACCCGTGTTCCATATCTGCTCACAACTACAGTTTCCATAATACCTTGTGCAAAGTCAAACCTTTTGAAATGGATATCGATAGTTCTGACTGCAATCAAATGAAAGGAAAACAATGGCAATGGTACAATGTGGGGCCTGTTGCCCAAGAAGGTGGAGCTACTCTTACCAGGTCACACGAGATACCTGGAGCTGCACAAAGGAAGGTGGGGTCTTTCAACTATTTCTGAGCCAGTGGGGTGTAGCACTTAAGCATGTCAGATGAGGAGCGGGCAAACCCAGGTTTAAATCCTTGCTCTCCCATAGAAACTTCCTAGGTGACTTTGGGCCAGTCACCCTCTCTCAGCCTAACCTACCTCTCTGGGTGGTTGTGAATGTAAAATGGAGGAGAGGAGACCTATGTATGCTGCTCTGGGTCTCCAGCAGACAGAAAGTAAATAGATGCTACATCATAGAAGAGAAGAAGAGATTGGATTTATACCCCGCCCTTCACTACCCAAAGGTGTCTCAGAGCGGCTTACAAACTCCTCCCCCTTCCCCTCCTCACAACAGACACCCTGTGAGGTAGGTGGGGCTGAGAGAGCTCTGACAGAAACTCCTCTTTTTCAAAAACAGCTCTTATCAGAACTACGGCTTGCCCAAGGTCATCCAGCCAGGTGCAAGTGGAGGAATGGGGAATCAAACCCGGTTCTCCCAGATTAGAGTCCGCGCACCAAACCACTACACTAAATACAGAGAGGTGTCATATGGGCTTTTTGGAAAAAATGGTTCAGTTTGTTTTAGATGCTTCCTTTGTGAATCTTTTTGACAATCTGTTTTCCCTCAGATGCATGCTGCTTTACTATTTCTCCACCTAGCCTACCCCACAGAGAAGCCTTGAGGATAAAACGGAAAGGGAAGAATAACGTATTTACATAAATAAAATATATGAAAACTAAGGCTCAGGGAATGGTCTGGGAGCACCTGACGCTACTAGGGCACTGTAAATGACAAACAGGTTTGGGCCTCACCCACTACATCCTCCTTCCTTGATCAACTGCCCCCTCACTCCCTTCCCTAAACACTGTCCTCCGTGGCGTCTTCCCCAGGATAATGCTGAATCCTGTATCCTCCATATACAATCTCAGCACTGCATCCCACTTTTAACAGCTGTTTTCATCAGTGACACATTTATGACCGTCACTGTGCTGATGAAGGTTTTATATCAACTCCACAGAAGGGCTCCTCCATCTAGACCTTGGCCAAGGGATCAAGCTGCTGCCATTCAAAATGAAAGAGTGAACATCTGTCCAGTTTGACATGACTAGAGCACAGCAAGAAAAGCTAGTGAGCAACTTGCCTTTTTGATCAGCACGTCATTGTTCACCTTGATGTCTATGTTGATTGGGGTATGGGGAAAGTCCTCAAATATCTCCTTCAGCAGTGGAATGCGCTTGTCTTCACCTTCACAGTAGCACTCTGACAGAGGCAAGCAGAAGTTGGTTGTTGTAAGGGGCATCTGTAGACCACTCTCATTTGCAGTAAGGAGAATCAGGCCCGTTTCACACATTACACAACAGTCGGCCTGGGTTAGTCTCCGAGTGTACACACAGCAGGAAGCCATAGCCAATCCTGGCTTCCCCAACAAATGTAGCTGTCAGGCACACACTCCAAATTTTCCATGTCACGATTAGATTTCAAATATTTAGATGCACACTTAAAACCTTCAGGTGCTTGCATGTGGACTTGGGTCTTTTGGCACAAATATCACGTATTACCATCTTGAACCTTAAATGTTTGGCATAAATATTACGTACTACCATCCAGATCCTTAAACTAAGCAGAAGCAGGCCTGGCTGATTCAGTGAACTTACTCCTAACTACTCTGCAAGCTAAATGCTGCTTTTCTCAAATCTAAGACACAGAAATGGTCCCAAGGTCAGAGAGTAAGGCTAGAGTAAACCAAGGACATAAACTCAGATTGCCCAAGCAGTGTGAAGGCCACAAGGTTGTAAACTCAGTTATTTATTCACCTTGTATCATTTTATCCCTCTGCCCCTAAGGCCATAAGGTGTAGAACTCCCATCAACACACATGCCCTTTGAATCCTCATTTCACACATTACACAACAGTCAACCTGGGTTAGTCTCCGAGTGTACACACAACAGTAAGCCTCTGCAAGCTAAATGCTGCTCTTCTCAAATCTGAGACACAGCAATGGTCCCGAGGTCAGAGAGTAAGGCTAGAGTAAACCAAGGACATAAACTCAGATTGCCCAAGCAGTGTGAAGGCCACAAGGCTGTAAACACAGTTATTTATTCACCTTGTATCATCCTATTCCTCTGCCCTTAAGGCCATAAGGTGTAGAACGCCCATCAACACACATGCCCTTTGAATCCTCAACAAGCACCACAGGGAGCACTTCCACTTTTGTCAATTACAGTCAGCAGCCTTTGAAAAGTAGCAGCGATTAAACTGGAACAGTGGCTATCTGGCTTACAAACATTCAGCTGCAGAAAATGCAAGCCCCACCTCAACAGTTGTCCTAAAGGCAGCCAGTATGAGGTAACTGGTGGATTGCTAGATATCTAACAGAGAGACCTATGCTTGAATCCTCAAGTCATGAAGCTCAGTCAGTGACTTCCGGAGACATCACTGTAGCCTGACAATGAAGCTATAAAAACCACTTGTAGCAGCTGCTACAGGCGCATTATCCTGAGCTCCCAGGACAAAGAGTGGGACACATAATAATTTACTACACTGATGTACAGACTGGCTGAACTGAATGGGGCTAGTTTCCACGCATTTATTATTTGGTTTATCAGCTACACCGGTAATGTCAGACTATAAAAAAGTAATACACTGTGAGGGCAACCCTGCAGTTATCATTATGAACATTTCAAGAACATACCGATCCTTGAAAAATTGATTTTGCAAAGTAGGTACTGTTCACAACATTACCTTTCTGAAAAGTTACATCCAATCTGCAGAGGTATGGCGGGAGTTCCTTCCAAAAGAGAGGAAAAGATTGTTAGCAGAAATACAACTGTGCTGAGTTCTGCATGCCGAATAGCTTTCATCCAAAATCAGCCTTGTTTTAATCTATGTGTTTTGGGAAAGGACAGTCCACATTTAAAGTCTTGCAAACATGAGTCATTTTGGAGGGCAACACAGGAAGATTTGTGATACACATTACCTGAAAATGGAACAGCTAAAAAACCTGTTGCAGAACAGCCCCGCTAATCCGCAAGCCCTGCTCTGATTCAGCCCTCCAAGGCATCTGGAGTCTAGGAACTAGTAGCTGTCCCAAGTCTCTACCCAGAAACATGCCATTCTCCCAGCTTGCCCAACTCTCTGAGGGGGTCTCCTCGTGTTTCAAGTACCCTGATCCAGCTGATTGATTTGAATACCACTCACCAAGAGGGCCAGCACACCCAACTTCCCTTCCACACTGCCAGATAAAGGCTCTGCCTAGTGCCTATGTCTCCCACTACACAGTGAATGGTTACTACGGGGATGGGTTACCACACTTGTACACTCCTAGGGAATAACCAATCTAGTAACCAACTACCTCTCTTCTCCTGGCACCCATTTTGAATAGCATGTTTGAATGGTGGAGGTCTATGTGATATGGAGAACTACCAGCCTTTAAAATAGTGAACAATTTATTAAAAGGAAAAAGTCCATACATACTCTGCACAGCAACAAATCAAGCAAGGAACACAAAGGGTGCAAATACGCACAGAGGTATTCCAACTCCAAACATGCCCTACATGGTCTTATTCTAAGGAAGGCTCTTTAGGCTTAAAAGTTAACAGCATTCTAAAAGTTTCCCATTACCTTAAGATCTTCGTTCAAGCAGCCAGCCTTTTGTCTGCTCCACAGGAAAATTGGCAGCCATCAAGATAGAGCCCAAGTGTGAAAGCTCCTTCCTCCAGAAGAATTAAGCCAAAACCTCTCCCTCCATGCCAACGGATTTTATCTCTTCGCTCTGCCCACCCCCTCTGTGGGTCAAATCTCTTCTTCCTGGGGCCACCAGGAAGATCCTATCTAGCTACATGCATTTCAAAGTCTCTGTCACCATCTGGGTGTCAGATTCTAGCCAAGCTGTCTCCAGCCAGGATGGCCATTTGGCTTTGCGAAGGTTTGATAGCTTAGTATTTGCTAAAACCATTGGCAGGAACTGACTTCCCCAATCCTGCCCTTTCTTCTGCTCACATAGGAAAAACTTTTTAAAACCAAGTGTGGGGTTTAGTAAGAGTCCAAGCCTTGAAATAAAACTCATTTCTCCACAGAGTCATCAAGGTACATTCGTCCTCCGCATCAATACCACATGGCAGATTAGGCTTTTCCTGAAAGCAGCACCATCATGGACACCAATCCCTTTTTGTTGAGAATTACACCTTGTTGCAGAAGCTACTAGGCAGTTGTCAGCCAACTAGGAATGCCTTCTGTTTCCTGTCTCTGAGTCCAATAACAGTCTCTTGCGGTATGGACCTCATATGTGAACAGAGCTTACAGAACACAAACAAGAGCCAGAAGATTGTGATGTTGACTCTTGGCAGAGGCAATACTTGTGCACATAAGAAAAGCCCTGCTGGATCAGGCCAGTGGACCACCAAGTCCAGCATCTGGTCTCATATTTACTCCAGTTACTCTGGAAGGCCAACAGGGCATAGAGGCTGCGACCTTGATATTGTCCCTGGCACTGGTATTCAAAGGTCAACTAGCTTTCAAAACCCCCCACAAACTCCAGCTCACAGACGTTGGGCAGTGTTTGAAAGCACAACAGCAATGAGGCCTACAGATTCCAGAAACCAGGAAGGTATTTGATGGTATTCAGTGGCAATACTTACTGGCAAACAATCTGCACCTGCAATGTACATCCTGAAGGAATATTATGAAGGGATCCTGAAGGGATACTATGTATCTGGCAAAGTGGGCCATGGCTCATGAAAGCTCATGCCACAATACTTTTGTTAAATCTTTAAAGTGCCACAACACTGTTACTTTGGCTACATTCATTGTTGTCGGATCACACGAAATCTATTGGCTTATTATAGATTCTTACCCTGGCCCCTACTTCACCAACATTCTTTAGCCAGAGTTCAAATTTCACCAGGCAAGAGATTTTACATGACCTGCCCTTTTGAAGACTTTAAAATTCAATTAAATTAAAATTTTAAAACTTCTAACTTACATAAGACTGCCAGCTGACCAAATTAAGAGTCCAGTGGCACCTTTAAGACCAACAAAGGTTTACTCAAGGTATGAGCTTTTGTGTGCAAGGCACATTTTTTTCGAATACATTGGAATGGTAGGTAAGGTTCAAACTTATAGACAGGGACTTAACCGCAAATTAACATGTAACATGATGATGCTTAAGCTATGCAAAGTCAGAACTAAATAACAAACTAAGGTTATAAGGTCAAAAGTTGTAAAGCAATAAATATGTCAAAATAGCAGATAAATGTCTAAAGGTGTCTTTTCTAACTCTGGGAAGCAAACCGATAACATCCCAGGTGTGGAGATCACTTAACAGCACTTTATGAGGTGGATGCAGTGTCATGTCAGCAAAACATCCCAATATTCCTTGCATTACATTCAGTATTCTAATATATTATTCTGAAAAAGAAATACACTAAAATACACAAGATTTATAATTCTTATTGTTGGGAATACACATGTGAGGAGTGAATAAGTTAGCTGTTTTTGAAGCCTTTGTGGACTGCAGGTGGGAGGAGGAGAGAGTTCGCATTAACTTACCGAGTACTTGAGATCAGATATGTTGACATCTAGTCCTGTTGATCGTTTCAGATTCTCGTCATGAGACACCACGACTTGTTCATCCTTCGTCAAGTGGCAGTCAAGTTCCAACATATCAGTCCCCACATTAACTGCACTGAAAAAAGAGAATAACCCTGAGGATCTTTACACTTTCTCTCATTGAAAGAGAAAGAAATCACGTTTTAGTCTAGGGGGGAGGGGCAAACTGTAGCGCTTGAGCTGAACTCAGTTCCCAGGCAGTTTATACCGTAAACTGCATGAAAATGTACTTAGCTGATCTATCCACTTGCAGCACCTCCCAGCACTAGCCAGACACTTAACGGGCTGATTCAAACAACCACAATGTTTCAAGAAGAGATTTCTGGCCACTGTTAGCTTGTGAAAGGAGGGAAGCAGCAGTGAGTGATCTGGACAAACATGAGTCATTTTGGAGGGCAACACAGGAAGATTTGTGATACACATTACCTGAAAATGGAACAGCTAAAAAACCTGTTGCAGAACAGCCCCGCTAATCCTCAAGCCCTGCTCTGATTCAGCCCTCCAAGGCATCTGGAGTCTAGGAACTAGTAGCTGTCCCAAGTCTCTACCCAGAAACATGCCATTCTCCCAGCTTGCCCAACTCTCTGAGGGGGTCTCCTCGTGTTTCAAGTACCCTGATCCAGCTGATTGATTTGAATACCACTCATCCAGAGGGCCAAGCACACCCAGCTTCCCTTCCACACTGCCAGATAAAGGCTCTGCCTAGTGCCTATGTCTCCCACTACACAGTGAATGGTTACTACGGGGATGGGTTACCACACTTGTACACTCCCAGGGAATAACCAATCTAGTAACCAACTACCTCTCTTCTCCTGGCACCCATTTTGAATAGCATGTTTGAATGGTGGAGGTCTATGTGATATGGAGAACTACCAGCATTTAAAATAGTGAACAATTTATTAAAAGGAAAAAGTCCATACATACGCTGCACAGCAACAACTCGAGCAAGGAACACAAAGAAAGGGTGCAAATACGCACAGAGGTCTTCCAACTCCAAACATGCCCTACATGGTCTTATTCTAAGGAAGACTCTTTAGGCTTAAAAGTTAACAGCATTCTAAAAGTTTTCCATTACCTTAAGATCTTCGTTCAAGCAGCCAGCCTTTTGTCTGCTCCACAGGACAATTGGCAGCCATCAAGATAGAGCCCAAGTGTGAAAGCTCCTTCCTCCAGAAGAATTAAGCCAAAACCTCTCCCTCCATGCCAACGGATTTTATCTCTTCGCTCTGCCCACCCCCTCTGTGGGTCAAATCTCTTCTTCCTGGGGCCACCAGGAAGATCCTATCTAGCTACATGCATTTCAAAGTCTCTGTCACCATCTGGGTGTCAGATTCTAGCCAAGCTGTCTCCAGCCAGGATGGCCATTTGGCTTTGCGAAGGTTTGATAGCTTAGTATTTGCTAAAACCATTGGCAGGAACTGACTTCCCCAATCCTGCCCTTTCTTCTGCTCACATAGGAAAAACTTTTTAAAACCAAGTGTGGGGTTTAGTAAGAGTCCAAGCCTTGAAATAAAACTCATTTCTCCACAGAGTCATCAAGGTACATTCGTCCTCCGCATCAATACCACATGGCAGATTAGGCTTTTCCTGAAAGCAGCACCATCATGGACACCAATCCCTTTTTGTTGAGAATTACACCTTGTTGCAGAAGGTACTAGGCAGTTGTCAGCCAACTAGCAATGCCTTCTGATTCCTGCCTCTGAGTCCAATAACAGTCTCTTGGGGTATGGACCTCATATGTGAACAGAGCTTACAGAACACAAACAAGAGCCAGAAGATTGTGATGTTGACTCTTGGCAGAGGCAATACTTGTGCACATAAGAAAAGCCCTGCTGGATCAGGCCAGTGGACCACCAAGTCCAGCATCTGGTCTCATATTTACTCCAGTTACTCTGGAAGGCCAACAGGGCATAGAGGCTGCGACCTTGAT